GGTATAGTTGGACTTGCATGGGAACAAAAGGTTGGTGCATCATTATGGTTTCTTGCTACTGGAGAATGTTTTAGGTCTATAGGTAATAGGTTTGGAATGGGAGAATCAACTTTTAGTTATGCATTAAGAGATTTTATTAATGTAATAGTTACAAAATTTCTAGCAGAAAAAATTGTTTTTCCAAATACAGAATCAGAAATTAATGAAATTACAAATGGATTCAAAGGTACTGGAAGAATTCCTAATGTTATTGGAGCTATTGATGGTAGTCATATACCAATTAAAGCACCTCATCTATTTCCTGTAGATTATTTTAATAGAAAAGGATTTTATTCAATTGTTTTACAAGCAGTAGTTGACCATAAAAAAAGTTTTTTAGATATATGTGTTGGTTGGCCAGGTTCTACACATGATAGTAGAATTTTAGTAAATTCTAATCTATATAATAAGTTTAATAATTTAGTAACAACTTTTAATAATAAATACATATTAGGTGATGGAGGATATCCGAATCTTAGTTGGTTAATAGTTCCTTATAAAGATATAGGTAGAGGATTAATTCAAAAACAAACATATTTCAATCGTAAACATTCACAAACAAGAATCAAAGTAAAACAAGCTTTTGGTTTATTAAAGGGTAGATGGAGATGTCTTCTTCAGTAGATAGATTAAGTAGACATCACTATAATTATAGTGATGTCTACTTAATCTATCTACTTACACCATAGTGATACCTACTTATAGATATTGATGCATACTTACTTATTTTTACGTGTCTATGCCTCTTCTGATGCTTTATTGCTATCCATCTGTTTTCACTGGTCTGTGACTATTTGGTCGCTAAACAGGGCAGAGGTTTGTTTTTCCATTCTGAAGCCTTTTAATAATTGTATAGGAGTAAAGTTGGGTTTTCCACCCTATGACCCTTTTGGTTGCCATATTTGAGGTCGAGGGTGTGGCCCATTTGCTGGCCTTTTAAGTTGCTGAAATAGTGTAAAAAAATCGTCAGATGGCGCAGTTAATTTGCGGATCAGATTTTGGCCGGCACTATGGTATAATTTCTGGCCGATCTTTAGGGCGGAATATCTTGGCATCCTGTGATTGGTTTCATGCGATATTGTAGTCGTTTGAAAGAGGACGTTGAGAGTTTTCCAATGATGCTAAGATCGCATGAATCTGATGCCTGGATGCCGAGATATTGCATCCTGAAATTTATGCAAAAAATATGGATTATAGTGCTGGGCAAAATTAAGCGAATCTATACTGCGCCTTACTGTGCCAGTCACGTGATACTGTTCTGGTGCCGGACACACGTCAAATGATCAAAAATAGGCAAAAAAAATGGCACAAATCGCATAAACTATTCGCAAATTTGTATAAACTATTTACAAATAGTATAGGTTAATTCGTAAATAGCCAAAAACAGCCAAGAATAGCCAAGAATAGCCAAGAATAGCCACTGCTTTTCGCGCCATTTTTTTTGCCGATTTTTAGCATTTCGACCTGTGGGAACACCCTCACATAATTGCTTCCCTCTCAATTGCCATTTCTTGATTACCGGATGAGGCACAAAGTGCCGAATTTGCAATCCATCTATTTGCCGAAGACATTTCACAATCCATTCCCTCACTTTTTGATTGCCAGGGATGAGGCACGAAGTGCCGAATTGGTGACCTAGATGTGCAATCCTGCCTTCCATAACCCTTTTGATTGCCTAGGATGATGCACGAAGTGCCGAATTTGTGCCCATTCTTGCAATCCCGCCCTTTATATGCCCTTTCTGATTGCTGTGTGAGGCTTATGCGAAGTGTCGAATTGGTTCAGGCTATATCGCTTTCATATCTTTTTTCGTGTATTCTCCTGAACCTTTCTGCCTTTCCGGTCTCTTTCCTGCCTATCGGTGGTAGGCCACTCAAGTGAAATTTCTCTTTTCTTTCCTATATATAATTCTGCTTGAGTGGGTTACCATAAACTTGCTTGTTTTCACCTTCTAGCTCTTGTTCCTGTATAGTTTTTACTCTGGGATACTTTGGAGTACTACTACATCGATTACTTTTAGGCATTATTATATTGATTACTTTGGGGTACTACTACTGACCCAGTATTTTGCCCTCGCTAGCAAGCATATTCGCTCAAAATTATATAGAATTTTTATTTTGAACTTTGCTAGTTTCTCTGTTATTTTATACTGCTTTCTTGCATATACACCATGCTTCTTGCGCAAAAAAATGCTGGACCTAGCCCACTTGTTTGTTCCGAACTGCTTGAATTAATTTTTAGTAATCTCAAGATTAAAGATATACTATATTCCTGTCTTACTATAAATCATCAATGGAATTTTGAAGCATTTCGAGTTATTTTAAAGCAAAAAGAAAGGGAACTTTGTGAAGATCTTAATTTTATAAAATATCGGTTAGACTGGAGTAAACAAGAAATAACCCGTATTCATACAGTTCTTTATACTCTGTATTATGATTGGATTACAGCAGGAGAAGAAATTGCAAATGTTCATGCAGTAATCAAATCCCATATAAATAATCTTACAAGTATTCTTCCCTGTCTTATTAAGTCTTCTGTCTTACGAAACAAATTTCATGTACAATGGCAAAATCTTTATAAACAAACGAAAAAATTGTTAAAAGATATCGATCTACTTGATAATATCAATAATATATAAAAGAGCGAATATATAGACAAGATTGTTGAGCTGTATTGTCAAGTACTCTTAGCCGAAATTGCCACTTCCTGCTAAGAATATTGGCGATATTTATTTTTTTACTTATGCAATAGTAGTAGCCAAGTTTAATTTTACTTTCGAACTTGCATCTGGATTTGCATATATCCAGATCGATTCTTCTGACCAAACTAGTCCAGAGCTAATAATCACTATCGCAAATTTCTGTACATGATATTCTATTGTACCTATAAAATGCAAGATGATATTAACACTAAAGCTTTGGCATATGCCCAAAAGCGTGAAGGAAGATGCTTAGCTAAAGTTAGTTCTAATACATATTTATGGGCATGTAAAAAAGGCCATCAATGGGAGGCGCCATATAAAAATATGAAACAGAATTATAGATGGTGCAATATTTGTCCTAATATACCAGAAAAAACATGCCGGTATATATTTGAGGATTTATTACATAAAAAATTTCCACCCCGAAAGCCTAAATTCTTGGAGGGATTACATCTAGATGGATACAATGAAGAGTTAGGCTTGGCCTTTGAATATAGTGGCAATCAACATTACCAAAT